TATATATGTATATATGTATATATGTATATATGTATATATGTATATATGTATATATGTATATATGTATATATTTCATTTGGTGGTTTTTCTATTTTTACAAAAACATAACACATATTGTATGAGTTGAGTATAATGACTAAATAGTTATCTTTTTTTTTCTTTTGACAGTTTATCCAAAGTGTGAATTGGGTTAGGAGAAATCCAAAATGTCTTTACCATTCTATCAGAGGCACCATCAGCATTTCGACCGAGCTTATCGTCACAAAGAGCTAGAATCTACACTAAGTCAATATCAGAAAGAAGAGAAGCGCAAATCTGCCATTTATACACATGGCTCTACTGCCTACAGTCACAGAGGTGCATCAGCCTACCGTCAGGAATCAGCTTTTTCTGACCAAAAGTCCACAGAAGCCAGCCAAGAATTAATAGAAGCTCATGCCCACAAATCTGCAGCTCACAGTAAACGTTCTGCAGCTTACACTCTAGGATCTGAGTTGGTCAATAAGAAAGCTGAAGCATATCATCATGGATCTGAACTGATCAATAAGAAAGCTGAAGCATATCGTCTTGGTCTTGGATATGACGCATACAGTCTCGGGTAGAGTAAAATGCAATTTTATGTAGTATGGTAGCTTCCCATCCATTTTCATTTCCTGGGTATCAAATTTTGTGACCATAAATATTTTTTTGGGAGACAACTAGCTTTCTCAGATTACCTTTTTACAAAATGTTTCTTTCTGTTTTTGTATATTTGGCTTGTGAAGCCATTTATGTGCCATGTTGTACACTACAATGGATGATACATTATCAGAAACCAATATGTTGATAGCACCTTAACCAGTTATGTAGCTTGTGGGTTTGACTGAGGAAATGGAGAAACATTACTCAAACTCTTCTTAGCCATTTCCCTTCCTTCAGAGCATTCAGCACAGCTGTTTTTCTATCTATGGAAAGAAAGGTTATACATCCTCTTCTGGATGGAAAAGTAATTTAATCAAATATTTGATTACAAATAAAATACCTGGAGGGGAAATTTTCTACTTAGTTTTTCTGCTGTGTTCTAGATACTAATCCCAATGCTGTTTTTCTGAAGGAGAAAAGTATTACAGGAATGTTGCATATAGTTGTGTTATGCTTATTTTGGCTTTGAGTTCATAAGGTTTAACACGATGTTTATACTATAGTCAAAGAAATTAAAGATATTTCAACTATTGGTGTTACCAAATAAACATAAATAGAAAGAACCTATTTAACTTAGCTACTGTTTGAATTATATTGTTTGAATTATATTAGCTGTCAGTGACTACATTCGTCTTATTCAAAGATAAAGAGATAGAAAAGATAAAGAGATAGAAAAGATTTCGTGCTGGCAGTTGAAATCCAATACAGTAAGTAAATACAGTGTAATTTATCAGCAAATTTAAAAGAAAAAGATTAGAGGTGGTATTGAACAGGTTCTGACCAGTTCTGGAGAATTTTGAGTAGTTCGGAGAACCAGTAAATACTACCTCTAACTGGCCCCACCCCCATCTATTTTCTACCTCCCATCCCAGCTGATCAAGAGGAAATAGGGCTTTTGCAGTAACCTTCCCCTGGAGGGGGGTGGGCATGGAGATTTTACAGTATCCTTCCCTTGCCACGCCCACCATGCCATGCCCACCAAACCATGCCCACAGAAACGGTAGTAAAAACCTTTGAATCCCACCACTGAAAAGGTTGGGTTTTTCTGAAGTGATTAATTTATCAGGTGGATTTAGGCATGTGGCTGAAAAGGATAAGAAGATAAATTCCTTACTTGAAGTCCAATGATTACAATTTGGTCTTACTGTCTTTTTTTTTTTATACCATCTTGTCAAACTGTTTCTTTTCTTCTGTAATATAAAAATTCATTTAAAAAGTGTTAGTTTTTGGTTGTTAGAATAATTTCTTGATCATATGGCCAAATATTACAATATTTCTGTACTTTGGCCAGAGGGGAAAGCCCAGTTTAGCAGGCTTAATGTAACCTGAAGAAGTTCCTTTTGGAACATCATGAATTATGTCTTTAGTCATCAGCTGAGATGTAGAGAAAGAGGTTTGGAGGGAATTTAGACATTTGATTCCTAATTAGCTTGTCCTGCAAGCTTAGAAGCAGTTTACATTTTTTAGCTGCCTCATGGTGAATGTTTTAAATGGCTTAACTTGATAGATTTTATAATGTGGTGAGTAGCTGATGAGTAAAGCAATTGTTTCTAACATTTAGGGGCCTTTGGCCCCATTTAAAGGCTTATCTTGCAGGTGTAAGTCATCTGCTGTCATTGCTTTCTGACTTGTCCAAAAGTAGCTGTCATGGAAAAGGGCCTAGTCCCAAAAGATCTCCAAGAAGTTCAGTGCAAGGCAGAGGTTGGTGTTGAGGCTGTTGTTTCCCCTCCAAAATGTTATATCCTATTGTTGGAAGAAATGTCCTTCTGGGTTTGGCTCCAAGTGGAGAAAAAGACACTGGAGACATGGAGGCTGCTTGGAAAGATGGAACCTATTCTGTCTTTTAAAACATGTTTCTTCCTTTTCACATCCAGAGAAATATTCTGCCTTTTCAATATTTCCTAGGATATTTCATTTTTTCTGGGA